TCATAAAGCTGAATCTGGGAAATTTCGAACCAGCTGTATCTGGATTCTAAGTTTTGACTATTGTACTGTATTGTTCTGTTCTCGTCCGTAAATGATCAGTCAGTCCTTGGTAAACGATCTAACTCCCCTTGGTATATGATCTATTACAAGCTCATAAAGGACTAGTACAGGCCATGTGCCGCTTGCGCTCCAACTGGTGCCTATCAAGTCTGCGCCTGTCAACGGCTGGGCCAGATCAATCCGCCAGCAGGTATTGGCCATTACTGATCTCAAAAGACGATTGTTGGTCAGGTTTTTACCAGCAGCAGACCAATGCAGACACCTACGATCAACACCGACAGACCTTGGCCGGCTTCGATCCTCCTCCGATCCTAGTTCCCCCGGTTTTGTGATGTGAGAGTGCGCTGCTGGGGCTTATGTAACAGTTTTCTCACACACCTTATTAGGCAACTGCATATGGGAACACTACTTACACTCTCTATTGCTCATTTCTTGTCCGTTTCTTATGATTTAAACTATTCCAAGTACTTCTTCAAAGTGGCTTTTGAACGGCGTATGTTACATAAGCATATTTCCAGGCACAGCGCTATAACCCAGTTAACACTACAAAGCAGTAGTTGCTACAATATGGTAGGTGGAAAGCACCAGACATACCATGACATATGTCATCTGGTGGCCCTTTTTAGAGGTCTCATAATGCATCTACATATGTAGTGATTGAATCAGAAAACAGCTTATAACTAGCCATACACTGTACATATAGTGTTCTACAAGTGTTACTGAAACCATTCCATCGCATCTGCTTCCAGAATCACATGGCATACACTATTAGATCCCTCTCATCAATGCGCATCAAACGCACTCAAGACCATTCAAAACTGACATCATCTGAGCTCATACCAACAGTTACAACATATGAACCATATGTCATAGACTTTGTAGTCCTTTCAGCACTGCATTGATATGAGCGCTTTGTTCACATCTACACTGGCTATTATGTGGACTAGGTTCACAAATATAATCAACATTATAGGGAATTGATCTGATTTACTAATAGGCAGATGTGGGTGTAGTAGCAGGGGCAGGGCGCTACAGCCACTGGGTGTCTAATAACTTGGGAAAGCCTCACTTTTCTGAAAGCAGCCCTTCAAAAATTGAATCAATTCTGATAAATCCTGAGTATATTCATAGTAGTAGTCCACATAGACTCTGACTGAAGCCCCCAAAGAGTGCCCATCTCAGTCTAGTTGACTCGGTGTAGACACTAATAGGCACTACAAAGTGTAGCAAGGAGTGAAGCACTGGGCCCAAGTGGCAGTGCAAACCCAGCGCTAGTGGAACCCTACAGGGGGACCCTAACCCAGAGCTAGGGTGATGGGAGTAAGTAGCAAACCTATGCGTGGGAAGTGGCTGTGCTAGTGAAGAGTAATAGGAGTCTGAAATTTTATTCCCACGGGTCGCACTAAGGGTGTCACGCATTGTAGCCAGAGCCCACCCCATAAAGAACAATTCATTTGTACCTCATTAATCGTAACTAAAAACCTTTCACTACCGAAAGGGCGTGCACGCAAACTGGCGCCGAAATTGTTGGCCCATTTGTGATATTATCTGCACACCCTGAAACCTCTACGTACAGGCTAGATCTGCCTACGAACTTAAGCAACGGGGGTAATCCAGTCTTTCATGCGAGTCTGCTACGGAAATACGAACCTAGCGACGTACACTTATTCCCTGCACGGAAACGCAGCGGTTTTACGATTTCGGCGTACCAGATGACCAGGAATGGCTGGTAGACGAAATTGTTGGACACCGCTGGGATGGAATAAGCTAGAACTCATGGTACGTGGACCGTGGGCGAACACACATGGGAAGAGCTAGCAGAATGCGAAAACTTGCGTGCCCTTGACAATTACCTTGCTCTACTCGCGTAGCGGACACTTCGGGCCTGCCACGCCGTGAGGTAAGCGCCATGGGCATCAGCCATGCGCTACAACCCGAGATAACGGGAACGAGAAGCCGAAAATCCGAAGATCGGCGCAGATCGCAAGATTAACAGCCCGATAAGCTCAAGTAGGGCTTCTCTGGTGCTCGCGCCTGCGCCTCACCCGCATCTTTGCACTTCCACGCTCCCACCATGTCCTACCCACCGAACCATACCAACAACTTCCCATCGCGACGGATGCGCAGGGGCCCACGCCGAACGGCTGACCCATGCGCCGCCGCCGCCAGCCTCAACTCAATATATATCGCGACGCCACATGCGGCTCCAAACGCCGAAATTGCGCCGCCTGACGTCGCCATGAACGGCACGATCGACCCTGCGTTACTCACAACGTCGGTCGAGGAGGAGGGGACTACCAACGCGACGCTGCGCACAACGCTGTAAGTGCGCCGCGCCCCCTTCTGCGCCGTATCCGGGACAATACGCCGGATTCTACCATGCTGGCCGATACCCTGCTGCTGCTCAAGTTCCGCAGTTCGCTCCACCAGCATACGGACACTACGTGGACCCGCTCACTACGGTCACGCAGTCGTTCCTCACCACTCAGCAGTCCCTCATGGGGCAAGTCGGCGAACTCAATGCCAAGCTAGCCACTGCCGAACACTCTCGCAATGACGCTTTGCGCGCTCGCGACGATGCAGTCGGCGCCCGCAAAGAGCTTGACAAGGAGGTCATCCGACTGAAAACGCAGCTCGCCGCTTCTGAAGAACGTGCGAACACGCTGCAGGTTATCAACAACCAGATCACCGCCCGGATCCGCGAGCTGGAGAACCAAGACTCGGACGCGCAGAGCCAACGATCTTCTAATGATCGGCGCGATCGAGATGAAGACAGCCGCCGGTTCGGACGTCACCACGATCGAGAGTACCGGCCGTACTACTCGAACGCGCGCCGAAGCGACCGCTCCAATTCGCGCGCATCCACCTACCACGGTTCGGCTCGGACTGAGCGGGGCAATAAACGTCCCGCTGAGTACGAGTCGGGTCCTTCGCGCAAGGCACCTTCTGCAAATGCGCCTAATCGCACCCCTGGGCCGAACTTCGCACCGGCCATTGCAACTTCTGCAAAGGCCTCTGCGAAGTCTGCCGAAAAGAGCACGGCCAAGGTCACCGTAGCGAAATTCGCTGTGATGGCCCCGCCGCCCTCTGTGCCTCAACCTACGGGTCCTTCTGTGACTGTTCAGGCACAGCCTGAGAGGCTCATTACGGACCCAGACTACAATTTCGGTGACCTTACTAGGTCGTCACTTCGCTCAACTCGTGGTCAAGCGGACCCCTCTCTCGCCGGCCACCCCGAGACTCCATGGTCGCGGTGGTACGCCGATGTGTCTCTAGCGGACACACGTAGCGAGAGCGAACGCAACTACGCCTCCTACTACCTCGACGCCAAAACGTCCGGCAACATGGGACCTGACGCCGAGAAGAAGGAGACGAACGACCTCAAGAAGCGTCTGGCCAGCACGCACGGAAAGCCCTCTAGTGGGGACTTCGAGCGTCTGGACCTAGGCCCTTGGAGCGGACTCCGCATCGTGACTGCCGTTCAGGCGCAGAACCTGCGTATGGCCGCACTCGCGAAGAGCCCGCCGAACCACTACGCAAAACGCGCGTACTGCTGGGTCTATCAGCAGCACGTTGAAGGCCGAACTCGGCGCAGCGAAGGCGAGCGGTACCTTGTACGCTCGTATTCGCTGGACCGAACTGACGCTCTCATGCCGTTCGACGACGCACTGGCGGCCGTCATCAGCTTGTCCAGCAAGGGCAAGACGGCCACTCGCGAAGTCAACTCCGTTGGATACCGTCCTCCTGCGACGGGCACCATCCCTCTTCCTCCGAACGCTCTGGAAGCCATGCGCGGACCGGATCCGCTGCCTGCCGCTCCTTCTATGGATACGCCGCTCCCCACTCTCATTTCGGACCCCACTCGGCCGCGTATTCCCTCTTCTTTCGTCATTCCGGTCACGACGGACGACTGGCGCGATCACCTCAACTGCCTCCTGCCGACCATCATCCCAGGCGACGAGTCGCACATCGCCGCACACATTCGGGACTCCCATCCGATGCTCTGGCCGTCGGCTGTCCGTGACACGAACGGAGCTCTCCCTGAAGAGTCCGCCGACGCCGAAGATCGCTGCGAACCTCATCCAGATGACTGCGCCGCGCTTGCTGTGCTCGCCATCGCATCGCCGCGCCGGCCTCCCTTTGGTGTCGCCGAAGAGTACGGTGAATCCGCATTCTTCCGTGGCGCGATCGAACTCTTCTCCGTCGAGGGCCTCTACTCCCTCATTGTGAACCTTGGCCAGTTCGTCCAGGCAAAGCCCGACATCCTTCCGGCCGATATGGCCTTCCCCTTCGACTGCCGCGCACTCGAACTTCACCACATCGCCGCCTGGCTCGCACTCCTTGGCCTCAGTCCAGGCGATCAGCGCGTTCGCCAACTCCAGCACCTCGCCGCTGCGATGCGCTCTCACCTTCGCGCGCCGGACTCCGTCATCCCCACCCTGGCCGAATTCACCACCCCTGCATTCCTCGGCACTATCCCCCGCAGCAGCGCGCCGAATTTCGGCGCACGCATCCCCCAGTACACCTCTGCGCCGGACGTGGAGATGAAGGCTGAAGACGCTACCCCCCCGATCGCGTCGAGTTCGTCGACTGGCGCTGTCGTGTCTACCTCTGCGGCCCCTGTGTCCCCCTCCGCTATCTCCATCTCGTCGGGGCCCAGCGTTGAGCGCAAGTAGGACCGTCACTGCGGTCCAGAGGAGGAGGATGTTAAGGTACGGGCGCGCAGGGCGCGCACGTGCCGGATTTCGGTGCCGGAGTTCGGCGTACCGGCCGAATTTCGGCCACGCTGCGAGCAGGGCTCGGGCGTCTTGACTTCGGCGAAGTATTTCGCCGAACTTCGACCATCAGATCGGGCGATCTGAGACCATACGGACTCTTATGTACTCTACGCGCGTCCCACGGACGCCAGCTTACCTCCACCCGCACTACCGCTGTATTCGTTACCTCAATCGAAGGTTTGGACGAGTCTGGCACCGGTGCGATCGTGATATTGTCATTTTACAGGTGGAGACCCAGACATCGACGAAGGCGGGGGTCGGGTGGGGCGGGAGGCGGTCCGCGTCCGACTCGACGTCGTTCTTGCGGCCCTCAAAGACGAGGTGGCGGAGGCGGGGGCAGAGGTGGAGAAGGGCGAGGTGGGGGGCGGAGGCGGGGGAGACGGAGCCGGACGCGCCGTCCTCGTCCTCGGCGTCGCGGAGGCCCATCTCCGTGTGGTCGCGGAACTCGAGGTAGGTGAGCGCGGTGCGGTGCGCGCGGAGCACGCCTGCCTGGACGCGCGTGATGATGATGATGATGATGTCGAGCCAGAGCCCGTTAGCTACACGCGTAGTGCTATGTACGTTCAGTAACCGGAACAGGACGGCGGCTATCCCGCATTCGGTTGACGCCGTATCGGCGCGGGGCCACGGCCTAAGCCAGTGTGGCGAGTGCAGGCCCTGCAGGCGGCCGCGTTTGAAACCACGGAACGCATACGTAAGAGAGTCCGAGGCCGAAACAGAGTCCATGCGTGTCTGAAGCCCCACCGAGTCCTGCTACCAGACACTGCGGGGGGGTTGGCGTTAGCTACTACCCTCCAGATATACTGACATGGAGGTTTGTGAGGTCGGGGTTTGTCGCTTCACACGGGCGCAGAGCGGCCGCGTGTTACGATCGAGGACGACAGTACGTTACCCCCATTTAATTTCTCTCCATAACCCCACTCCCCCGATATGCGCGCCCTCTAAATAACTACCGACTGCCCCCTGACTCGTACGGACTCATCTCGACTCACTCTACTGCGCCATGACTCGCCGATTGCTCCCAGTCACCGTAGGTCATAGTGATTCGGAACATCTCATACGGACTCGTCGTGACTCGCAGCTAATATGACTCCCCCCGCTCTCCACCTGTATATAAGGGCGACACCCCTGAGCGCTCCCTCCCCAGACTTGAATCTCCTCTTGTACTACTACGTCTACCTTGACTACGCGCAATCTCACTTGTTGTCGCTCGCACTCGCTCGATAGCACGCAAGCGCTCTGAGCATCGCCACCATAACCACAAGGCGCCTAGGTCGTATTCCAGCTGGAATAAGCCCTCAGACGTAACATTAGATTCAAGTCTCGAACCCTCCACTTCTATAAGTGCAGAGGATCTATCTAGGACCAAGGAAGGCTGTGTACTGCTCGAACGCAGAACACAGTATAAGCATCAGACATCACGGATATCGTTCAGCAATACACAAGTTCGGAAACAAGTCATAGGGAAAATTCCCGCAACTCGCACTTATACGCTGCCCCTGGAACCCCCCTCATCCTATTGCCAAGAACCCCCCTTCACGGACGACCCAATCTTCACGTTGAGATCCATAGCCCCGCACCTGAGCCCCATACTCCCTTCAACACAATAATCAACGAAGACGAAGAGAGAACCGCGGTACAGGCTCAAGCAGAAGAAGATTCAAGCGAAGACACCGTCGAAGAGTACTACACTTTTAGGAGGGCCCTGAGGCAAGGAGGAGAAAACCTGAACGCGCTCCAGACCGAACCCATCTTAGTAGAAAGGTTTGGAGCACTCGAACTGGAAACACTCCACCAGCAGATCACAGACCTGGACGATACTCTTGGCGAATTCTACGGAGTTCCAGACGTGGACGAAGAACCGATTGAACTACCTCTTCACGCGCACGACCCAATCACCAAGCTTGTGCAACGCCTTCAATTCGACGTAGCCGACCTTGAACAATTCGTATTCAACTTTAGGGGTAACTTCATCCATCCGGACTACCCCAACCGCCTCGAAGCACTCAAACGAGTTCGCATCGCTCTGGAAACGGTTCAAGAGTACTTGAATGTCAACTGAAGCAGGCGAAGAACCTGATAGATCGTGCAAAGACTACGCCCACATCTTCAACCCGACCAATACCGCCGACTATCACATTACTAGACGAGGATATCAACGGTGCACCACACAACGCTGTCCCATCAGATACTGGGCAGCACGAAAGTACAGGGTACCAGAATTAGAACCCCCATACGAGTCCATCGACGCCTTCAATGGAACCTTTATGGACCTAATCACGAAGGCACTCATCACAGAACCACGCACCCAACTAGCGTGGTACCGACAATCCCTCGATGCTCCAGTACGCAACAAGATCCTGGATATGGCCACGGTACCTGCAGACCTCAACACGTGGATGACGCGAGCCATCGATGTCGATAGGAACTGGAAAATGAAGAAAGATATGGACAAGATCCTCGGGATCAAACCAAGGTTCAAGACAAAGGTGGTTAAAGCCACAACCACAGAAAGATCAAACGGAGAAGTCAACCGACTCTCTGCGGAAGAAGAACAAGACCTACGAAGCAAGGGATTATGCTTCTACTGCAAGAAAGGAAAGCACCTGGCGCGATTCTGCCCAGCCAAGAAGAAGGGAAAACCGGCACAGCAGAAAATTCGCGCTATGAAGGAGGACCAAGAAGACGACCCTCCCAGTGACTCCGAAGCCGAGGTTAACGCTACCATAATCGATGAGACAGAGGATTTTTAAAGCGGCAGGACGAATCGACGCCGGATCTGCCTAATACAACCACCATTCATGTAACCCTTGTATCAAATACCGAACGGCGAAGACACGCCTTATTACTCAACGGTTACATCGAAGTGGGAAAAATCGCTGTCGAAATCAAAGGCCTCCTCGACTCAGGAGCCGACGCAGTAATCATCAACAAACGAGTAGTGGACAAATACAAACTCCCAACGGTGCTACTACCAGTACCTGTCCGGTTCAAGAACGCGGACGATACGATCAACAGCTCAGGAAACATCACTCATCGCGTGGAAGGAAACTTCATCCTCAACGGAAACAAGCTACCTACCAACTGGTATGTGGCCAATATCGGACGCGATGACGTAATCTTTGGAATGCCCTGGATACGAAACTACAATCCAACCATCAATTGGGAAACCGGGAAGATCACCATCAAACAAGACAAGATCAAGAAACAACAGGAGCTACAAAAAACCCGACAAACAATCACTCCCCCAGAAGGAACCCTGTGGGGATACCCCCTCAGAGCGGACAATCAAGAACTATTACTGGCATGCTTCGAAACGGACACAGACGACGATAAACCGACACACAACCCCTCCAGAGTCCTCACAGAATGGTTTGAAACCAGCAAAATCCGACGAGCTACGAAGTCAGCGGAAATCGCCATCGAAGCAAATAAACTAAAACCCGAAGTACCATTAGACGAAATCCTACCGGACTTTGTAAAAGGGTACCGCAAGATATTTGAAAAGAAGGCCGCAGAACGATTTCCGGAATCCAAACCATGGGACCATGCAATCGATCTAAAACCAGGCTTCGATTTTCACAAGGACAAGAGATGGAACAAGATCTATCCCCTCACCCTCATGGAACAAACTGAACTAGAGAAATTCATTGAAGAAAACATGAGAAAGGGGTATATCAAGAAATCAAAATCCCCATTTGCTTCGCCATTTTTCTACATTCCAAAAAAAGATGGGACACTCCGACCAGTCCAAGACTACAGGGCCCTCAACGAAGGAACAATCCGAAATGCATACCCACTCCCACTAATCAGCGACCTAATGGATAAGCTCAAAGGGGCCAAGTACTTCACCAAGTTGGACGTACGAGCTGGATACAACAATATTCGAATTAAGAAAGGAGACGAATGGAAAGCCGCGTTTATAACCCCCAAAGGACTATATGAACCCACAGTAATGTTCTTTGGACTATGCAACGCCCCAGCGACCTTTCAAAGCATGATGAATCAAAACTTCGAAGACCTCATTCGCGAAGGATGGATGGTTATCTACATCGACGATATTCTGATCTTCTCCAAAGACTTAGAAGAACACCACAGAAGAACGCTAAGAGTCCTCAAAAGAATTCAAGAACTAGACTTCTACCTGAAACCATCCAAATGCGAATTTGATAGACAAGAAGTAGAGTTCCTCGGATCAATCATACGCCCCGACGAAATAGCCATGGATCCAGTAAAAATCAAAGCAGTACTGGAATGGAAGCAACCAACCAAACTGAAGGAAGTACAGGCCTTCCTAGGATTTGGAAATTTCTACAGGCGATTCATCAAGGACTACTCAAAGGTGGTCAAACCATTGACATCGCTAACGCGAAAGGACACTCCGTTCAAATGGGATGAAGACTGTGAAGCAGCCTTCCAAGAGTTGAAGCAGCGTTTCACGACCGGACCAATCCTCAAGATGCCGGATCCTTACGAACCATTCCAAGTAGAATGCGACGCGTCCAAAGTAGCAACGGGAGCAGTGCTACGCCAGAAAGGAAAGGACGGAATATGGCACCCATGCGCATATCTATCAAAGTCGTTCACAGAAGCAGAAAGAAACTATCAGATCTACGACAGGGAATTACTCGCAATCATTCGAGCATTCAAGGAATGGCGACATTTATTGCAAGGATCACCACACCCAGTAGAAGTCATCACAGACCACCAAAACCTAACGTATTTCCGCTCTGCGCAACGCTTAAACCCGAGACAAGCAAGATGGCATCACTACATGAACGAGTTCAACTTCACGTTGAAACATCACCCTGGAAAAACAATTGCGCAAGCCGACGCTCTGTCCAGGAGAACAGATCATGAACAGGGGGAGGATGATAACAAGGACATGGTCATGCTACCGGAACAAAATTTCTCACTCAACTCTGTCCAAATTGATATCTCCCAACAAATCCGAAACAACAAAGCCCGCAACCCGGATCTAATACAGTTCTTGACGACCAAAGCGACTGACAAACCACGACCTGCCTGGGGCAAGCCGAGCGATTGGAAAGAAGAAGAAGGACTGTTACTATTCAAAGAACGTATCTACGTACCACATCAGGAAAACCCCAAAACACTAATTAGGACTAACAGCAGTAAATTAGTCCTAATGGAATGTCTAATCGGGCTAACAGATTTGGGCCATCTAATTGTGACTAATGTGTGATAGTTTGGTACTAGCAGTGTTGTGGATCACCTATTCTCAGTAATTCTAGCAGCTCCCCCACTAATTCATGTACTTCTCTCATATCTGATCTCCTATGTCACTAATTTGAACCTCACACAGATATATTGCAACTAACTGGAGTAACACCGAAGGTGCAACAGCGGCCTTGCACGAGATGCCGGCCTATTCTGGGTAGCTATCTCACTATTTCACTCGTATTTGATCTCACATGTCACTAATTTGAACCGCACATATATAATGCAACTAATTAGAGTAACACTGAAAGGATGAGATAGGGGGCCGTGTGGGCGACGTGGGAGATGGGCAACAAAGATGAGGGGGCGATATGGGGGCGACAATGGGGGTGAAACGGACGACACTGGACTGAGACACAGGTGGGGTGGGTGACGCATGCAGGGGTTAACGTGGTGGGGGCGACGGTGCGGGGTGGGTGACACGGACGTTGACGCGTGGGCGAGACGTGCGACGCACGGGCGATGTTGACGAGGGCACAATGGAGGTGAGACGTGGTCGACGCGGGGGTTTAATGTGGGCGAGGCGACGAAACGTGGGTGACCGCGAGGCGGTAGGCGACATTCGGGCGAAGTGACGACGCAAGAGTGATCTGGACAACACAGAGCAAAGGGCGGACGTTGACACAGGGGTGGCGTAGGAGACATGGGTGACGTGGTGACAAGATATGGGCGAACACGGGCGCGGTGGTGAAGGAAGCGACAGACGCCGCGCGCGAACTTCGCGGCAAGACGCGTGAGCTCGGCCTGCGCGAGGTGCGGGGGGCGCGCCCGGCGTTTGACAAGGAGGGGTGCGGTCTCCGCGGGGGTCTCCGCGGTGTTCTTGCGGGATGGCTTCGGGGTGAGGTCGCGCTCCTCCTCGCTCCGTTCGCGCCCGTCCTCCGCATCGGACGACAAGAGGCCGTAGAAGCGCTTGAAGTGCGTGTCCGACAGCGAACAGAGGCAAACACGGACGACATGGGGGCGAAGTGAGCGAGGCGGGTGAGTGAGGTGGGCGATGCAGGTGATGTGCAACATAGGCGATATGACCTAGGGCGAGATGGGCAAAAGGAGATGGGTGGATCGTGTGGTGGACGAGACAGAGATGGAATGAACACTCGCCGAGAAAGACAGGCTGACCGTCAGGCTAGACATCGGCGTTACAGGCGGGAGCTTGCTTCCTACTTGCGCCGGCACGACAGCGTTTGAGTACGCATAGCCTGTGATGCGGGTGCGCGGGTGATGCGGGCGAGGTTGCAACGTGGGTGAGGAGGGCGAGGGCGATGCAGCGGACGAGGTCAGTGACAAGGTGGGTGAGGTGGGCGACGCGGGCAAGGGCAAGACGGGCAAGACGGGCGAGAGCGAGACGGGCGAGACGAGCAGGGGGAGGTGAAGACGATGAGGGCGTCAAGCGCTGGAGTCCACGCGACGCGCGTCGGCTCCCACGCATCAGAGGCACACCGTGAGTCCGTGCGCAGCTGCCAGCGCGTGTTCTTTCTCCACCTCTCTCATCATCTTGCCCGCTGCTAGCTCTCCCTCTTCTTGCTTGCCCCCTCCTTCTCCAGACCCCACTGCACTACCAAACACAAGTGCCTCCGGACCAAGCCGCCTAAGATGGTCAAAGGTGCATTATATAACCCCTCCTCGCGTCTTTCCTCCCTGACAAGCCCGACGCCCGCATCTGCGCCTGTGTCTGACCTGGTGGGAGCCAAGTCGGCCGCGCAAAAGGAGGCCAGTGCCGCGGGAGTCACACGCGCGAAGGCTCACACCCTCGGACAACGGGGTATGGAGGATTGCACCCAGCACTCAAAGGTAAGCGTTCCCTGTCTCGCCTGCGGCCTGCGCTGGCTTGCTCACGCTCGTTGTCACCCACGTCGCCTGCCCTCACCCATCGCTCACCTCACCTACCTCACCTATATTGCCCGCGTCGTTCCCGCATCGGCCGCGTCTCCCATGTCACCCGTGTCGCCACCTCCCCCGCGTCGCCAACCTTATCCACCTCGCCCGCCTCGCAAACACTGCCCACCTCGCCACTTCACCCACCTCGCTCGCCCATCTCACCCATCTCGCTCGCCCATCTCACCCATCTCGCACACCTTCGCCTCGCTCATGTCACCTGCGTCGCCCGCGTTCGACACGTCTTGCCCCACGTCGCCCGCATCACCCCCGCGTCAATGTCCGCGTCGCCCCCCGTCTCACCCACTTCGCCCATCTTGCCAACATCCAAGTCGCTCATCCGCGTCGCGCACCCGTATCACCTTCTCACCTGCGTCCACTTCGCGTTGCCCGCCCACGTCGTCCGTGTCGCCCATCTCACCTGCGGCCGCCTTGCCTCCCTCGCCCGCGTCGTTCCCACATTGCCCGTCTCGCCCTCGTCCACCTCGCTGCCTCGTCCGCCTCTCTTGCATCACCCATCTCACCCGCATCGCGCCCGCGTCACCCGCCTTAGCCGCCTCGCCGCCGCATCACCCGGCCCTGTCTCCCGCGTCGACTGCGTCTCGCCCCCGCGTCGCCGCGTTGCCTTCGTTTACCCGCGCATCGCCTGCGTGCGCCCACGTCTCGCCCTCGCGTCGGCACCTGCATCGCTCGCGTCTTGTCCGTGTCAGCCTAGCATAGCATTTGTATTACTACGCTTCAATATATTTGCTTTGAACCCTCTAACTGCGTGACTAGTTGTGCGATTACCCCCTCTAATGTCACCCTAACTGTTGGTCTAATTGTGATAATCGTCACTAAAGCCCCCCTATCTGTGTGTCTAATCCCCCACCCTATGCGCAAATGCCCAGAGTAACACATGGCTAATTGTTGAACTAATCCGTCTAATGGTCGTAATTAGCAGGGGACCGATCTAATTAGCTGCTAACAGGTAATCCGGGCTAATGGCTGCTAATCAACTAAATTAGTGCCATTAGTCCTAATTAGCATTTTGGGGTTTTCCTGATGCACCCGACGAGAATCTCTATCGCAACATTGTCAAAACCTATCACGAACCAGCCGTAATGGGCCACCCGGGAATTCAGAAGACTTTCGAACTAGTCAAAAGAGACTATATATGGGACGGAATGCGTAACTTCATCACCGAATACGTAAAAGGATGCGCAAAATGCCAAACCACCAAAGTCAACACCCATCCAACCAAAACAGGATTATTCCCGATCCCACACAGCGGGAACACTAGGCCGTTTAATGTCATAACCACCGACTACATCACAGATCTACCAGAATCAAACGGATACAATGCAGTCCAAGTAGTCGTCGACCATGACGTTACAAAGATGGCCATATTCACGCCTTGCACGAAGAATATCACAGCAGAAGGAGCAGCAAAGCTACTATGGGACCAAGTCTTCAGCCGATTCGGAGTCCCCTCCAAGATCATATCCGACCGAGGCCCACAATTCGCAGCAGGAGCATTCAGGGAACTCCACCAACTAATGGGAATGGAAACTGCGCTGAGCACGGCGTACCACCCGCAAACCGATGGTCAAACAGAACGAGTAAATCAAGAACTGGACCTCGCTCTGCGTCTCTATTGCGGCAATATCCCAAACGAATGGGCGGATCACCTCAAGGAATTCGAATATGCACATAATCAACGAACACATTCAGTGACAAAGAAATCGCCGTTCGAACTACTCTATGGTTATCAACCACAACTAGTCAAACTCCCACGGAAAAATCCGAAATACCCAAGCACGGAGGAACGGCTCTCCGCCCTCCGAGCTGACCAAGAAAATACAATTGCAGCCCATAATCACGCAGCCGCGGCAATGACACGGAGATCACCAGGACAGCTCGTCTCATTCAAGAAAGGAGATAAGGTCCTTCTAGAATCAACCAACCTCCGACTCCCATACCCGCACCGGAAACTGGCACCTAAACGAGAAGGACCCTTCGTTATCACGGAAGTCATGGGACCTGTAACGTTCAAATTAAACCTACCACGCACTTGGAAGATTCATCCAGTCTTCCATGCCGCGCTCCTACTCCATATCGAGTCACCAAAGCACATGGCCCGACTGCCACGTCCACCTCCTGACGTCATAGACGGCGAAGAAGAGCATGAAGTGGAAGCTATTCTTAACCACCGAATGAGGGACGCAAACGAGACAAATTGGAATACCTGGTGACGTGGAAGGGCTGGGAGTCAGCAGAAAACTCATGGGAACCCGAGCACCATTTGAAGAACGCGCCCGATATCCTGAGGTATATAAGAAGAGACACAAGCTCCTCTGACCCTCATCCCACTCCCACTCGAATGCGCTTCTCAAGATGCCTCGCCACCACCGCTCTACTCCTCGTCGCGCTCCCCGCCTCTATCCCATCCGCCTCACTACGCCGGACATCCACGACACCCCGACTTCATCAATAACCGCCCCCAGGTCAACTACGACCACCTTCCGACTCTCTATCGCACTAACGAGAGTCGCGGAACCCTCGGAGACCGCATCGGGTGGACCGTCGCGCACTCCGACCTCCACGGACACGTCCGCTACCGCACCCAACATATCCCCCACACCGAGCCCCTCGTCAACGAATACCGCATCGCGACCGAGGCGTCTGGAAGACGGTCGACCACTTCGTGCAACGCGCTGGAGCCCCTGCCAGCCAGAAGGCCGTCGCCAAGGAGGCCTCGCTGACCCTTCGGGCCCTCATCGCGCGAGCTGCCGACGTCGCACTCGACCAGCTCACCAGCATCGAGGTAGCGGCCGCCCTCGACGACTTACTACCCACCAACCAGCAGCACCTTCCCCCCTGGGGAAATATCCCGTCCGACATCGTAGAATGGGGATCCCCCAGCGAGCCCGCCCCCGAAGAACGAGTCCGCAACCAGGCCGCCTGGAACGCCCTCACTCCGGCGAATACAGGCACCACGGACGACCTCCCACCCCTCATGCCGGTACTTGACCTTCCCGCCGCTGTAACGCGCGCCCAAGACACCTCCACGCCGCAGCCTCCCCCTACACGCAAGAGAACGATTCCGACAAAGAAAACCAACCCCCGGTCACCACCACCGACCTCCTCGCAGCCCAGTCTCTCCTCATGGTCCACCGCAACTGGGTCCGAGCACAGACCGCGAACGCGGAACCCGGAGTTCAATTCGGAGTCCTCAATCTCCCCCCCGGAACCCTTGCAAGCTCCTCACGACTAACCCTCACCGGACCTGACGAATCCCCGCGCCCGCGCCACCACGACGCCCTGGACGACATCTTCGCCGAGCTCGAAGCGGAGATCATCGACTACCACGACGACGAACTGGTTCTCGTCCACCCCCCTCCTCGCACACCTCGGTGGCGCGTCCAAGTGGGATCAGGCCGGTACGTAATCACCGCCCACGTCGGAGTCGACCACTACCTCAGAGCGCGACTGGACTCCTGGCCGGAGCTGTTCACCCCCGCACGTCTCTACGGATACCTCGAGATTGGTTTCCCCCAAGTCCACGCGAAGATTCGACACGACCTACACCTCCTAGGCGCCGAAGCCATCGCCCAGCACATCGACGCCCCATGCGACGAAGTTATCGAGAATCGGATCGTCGACACTCAATCATGGGGCACCTACCGCGAGAAGTTCGACCAACCCATCATCACCATACTCCGGAACTACGAGGGTGCTCACCTCCCGCTCCAGGAGTACGTCGATCGAGTGTCGATTCAGATCGCCGCGGACCTCACGACCATCGGCATCGGGCGCGCCCCCGCGGACGTGACGCCGTCGACCACCACGTAGGAGGTCGGGACGACCCTCTCCGGAGAGGGAGCTGATGTTATGATCGAGGACGCTAGTACGTTGCCCCCCATTTAATTTCTATCCATAACCCCACTCCCCCGATATGCCCGCCCTTTAAACACCTATCGATTGCCCCCTGACTCATACGGACTCATCTCGACTCACTCTGCCGCACCATGACTCGTCGATCGCTCCTAGTCACCTTATGTCGTAGGGACTCGGAACACCTCATACGGACTCGTCGTGACTCGCAGCTAATATGACTCCCCCCCGCTCTCCACCTGTATATAAGGACGATGCCCCTGAGC